TCATCAAGAGCAAAGAAGAAAGAAGAAAACCAAAATTAATGGAAACAATCAGTCCTAGTGACTGGTACACCATCCAATCTGCAACCTATACAACTATGAGACCAGAAGAACTAGATGGTGCGAAGCTACCACTGACTGTTCCGATAAGGGCCACAATAGATGGATTCTGAGGGAATGGAAGAAGAGAACTCAAATTCTTCAGAAGTCCAGGCTAACTGGACTTATCTTTAGTTAAAGATACTACCTCTAACCTTAATCTAAAAGTTACCGTAAATGTAACACTAACACTACCTAGCATAGTGCCTAAAGCACTTAACTGCTAACCAGAAGGCTGGCAGTTCAAACCCACCAGCCACTCCTCAGAAGGAAGATGGGGCAATGTACTTCCGTAGTGATACTGCCCTGGAAACCCAAGGAGGGGTCGCTATGAGTCAGGTCTGACTCGACAGCACATAACAACAACAACAACACTACCTAACCCTAAAACCTGTCTCTAAAACTAACCCTGCACCTAAACCTAACCTTAACTCTAACCCTAAAAAATCATTAAACCTAACCTAAACATATTGGGTAAGGCACGTGGCTGCTAACCAAAAGGTCAGTGGTTCAAACCCTCCAGCCGTTTTGTGGGAGGAAGATGAGGCAATCTACTTCTGTAAAGATTTACACCCTTGGAAACCCAATGGGGGTCAGTATGAGTTGGAATCAACTCAATGGTGGTGGGTATCTATATGGACTATATCTCAATAAAGCTGTGCAAAATAAAACTTTTAGGAAATTCAATATGGAGTGATCATAAACTCTGAGTGAGCTTCACTATAGCGAGATCTTAGTAGGCTGTTTTTTGGGAGACCCTACTGTCAGCATCTTTAGGTTTTCCCTTGGTGAAAAGGGAAAACAAGGCAAGAGGCTTCCACTCACTCCTGGAAGGTAAGGCTCCGCCTGACAATGTTTAGGGAACTATTGAAAAATATATCTTTTTTTTTTTAATCTAGACATGAATCAGAAATTTTCCTTAGAGAAGACATTTTTGTTACAACTGAAAACACTTTCCAGAGATTAAGAGGAAGAGAATTGATGTCTACTGAGCCTCTACTATGAGCCAAGCACTTCTCATTCTCTAGTTTATGGATTTAATCTTTATAACAACTACATGGTAATGACATTATATTCTCATTTTACAAATAGGGAAACTGAAGCTCTAATGTCTGAATCCAGTGACCAAACTCTATTCATTTCATTAAAAGTACCTTTGGTTTGGGTAGCCTCAATTGCTTGTATGAAAGAGTTCCTTGAAACAGTTTTTCTTACCCATTGGTATGAACCATGGTTCTCTCACTAAACATTATGAGGTAAAATTAGGGTTGAGTGGCATAAAAATATTCCTTTCAAGAGGCAATGTATATAGTGACAAAGGGCCTCGCCAGGGAAGTCTGAAGTCACTGTGTGACTGTGGATGAGTAACTTACTCTGAACCTCAGGTTCTTCATATATTAAATTATGATATATTTCTAGATGAGATTAAAAAAACAGATTTTACCTTCCTCATAGGCTTACTAAAAATGATGTATGGAAGTGTTCTGTAAACTGGTAAACACTACAGAAATGTAAACCATTATTAGGATTTTGGAAAATAAAATTTCTGGCAGGAGGGTTACATTCCAGTAGTTGAACCACCAGCAGAAATTCAACAGAGATTGTAATTTGTTGCAAGCACTAGACTTCATTTTAATAACAGATATAATACTAAGATTCACCACTGTTCTGCATCCATCTAATCATGTTTCCTTAAGAAAGAAGCACTCCCACTTTTTATTCACTAATTTGAACTCTTCAACCATTTAATTTAATAAATTTGTCCTTCAGCTGATTATGATAAAACTTAAATCACTGGCATATATCTCTCCATAATGCTATTAGTATGAAAGAAGAAAAATAAAATGTACAAAACTACTAAATTATTTTAAGAAATACGTTAACAAATATAGTTGTTGTTGTTGTTATTTGCCGTCGAGTCGGCCCCGACTCATAGCGACCCCTCCTTGGGTTTCCGAGGCAGTATCAGTACGGAAGTAGGATTGCCCAACCTTCCTTCCGAGGAGTGGCTGGTGGGTTTGAACCGCCAGCCTTCTGGTTAGCAGTCAAGTGCCTTAGGCACTATGCTACCAGAGCTCCTAAGCAGATGATCAATACGTTCATAGCTTTAAAAAATAAAAATGCCTGTTTAAGAAACAAACATATATAAATGACTTGTCTAATGTTCATCATTGTAACCTTAGCACCTAGTACAGTACCTGACACATAACATATACTCAATAAATGCATGTTAAGTAATGAGGGAGAGAAGAACTGACACAGCATAATTTCAGTAACTTCTCTAGTATTGTATCAGGTAGACAGTGAATGTTATCCAAATTTCAGAAAGCAGAACTGTTTCTGATGTACTGCTATAGCCTTATAGCCTAAACTCTGTGCACAGTTTATACTCAAATACATACTGGATATGCCTGTCTACATTATACCTACTCCTCAAGGCAAAACCCACACTGCACTCATGAAACACCTTTCCACTACTCTATCCTCAGTGAACTTGGAAGGAAGGTTGGGCAATCTATCTCCGTAGTGATACTACCTTGAAAACCCAAGGAGGGGTCGCTATGGGTCGGGTCCAATTCGATGGCACATAACAACAAAAACAACAACATCCTCAGTGAATAGTCCTTTTATGACACTACAATTCCTTTTTTTTTAACCATTTACTTACTTTCCCAGGCCAAGAATCTAGGGGTCATCCTTAATTATTTTCATTCTCTTAACACCGCACATTCAAATCTATCAGCAAATCTTACCACCTCTACCTTCTAAATATATCCTAAATATGACTATTTCTTACCCCCTCCATCAGAGTCCAAGCCAAAGGACTAAGGAAATCTGTGCAGAGACATTCTCCATCCGTTCTTGTACAATTCTAGTTCGGCATCTTTGACAAATTTATATTATATCAGGAACTTTATCTAATCTTATATTGGTAGATGTGTATGTTCTCTTCCAATCCATTCAAAGCCCACCTGAAATGCTATCCTTTCCTCCACCTCACTCCTAATTTATTCTCCACCAGGCAGCAAGAATAATACTGTGTTTGTTTTTCTTGTATATTTTATTTCTGCTATTGTTGTTGAAAATATACACAGCAGAAAACACACCAACTCCACAATTTCTACATGCATAATTCAGTGATATTTTACATTCTTAGAGTTGTGCAACCATTCTCACCTTCCTTTTCTGAACTGTCCTTTCCTCCTTAACATCAACTCACTGCCCTTTCAGTTTCCTATCCAAACTTCTGACTTGCTGTTGGCAGTATGATAGTATAAAGATCAATCTTAAAAGAGCACAATGCTTAAGGCACACATCTTTACTAGTTAAGCTAAACTACTCTTTGATTTTAGAAGACTTCAGAGAACATTTTTCATTTAAGTTTTAAAGATTATCTCAGAGCAATAGTTTCAGGGGTTCATCCATCCTACATGGCCCAGAAAATCTAGAGTCCATGACAATTTGAAATTTTGTTCTGTATTTTCTCTCTTTTGATCAGGATTCTTCTGTAAAATCTTTGATCAAAATGTTCAGTAATGGTAGCCAGGCACCATCAAGTTCTTCTGGTCTCATGGCAAAGGAGGCAGTTGTTCACAGAGGCAACCAGCCACACATTCTGTATCCTCCTATTTCTGACTCTCCTTCCTTTGTTGTTACAGGGAAATAAAGACCAATGCTAGGCCTTGGATGGTCACTTGCAAGTTTATCACACCTCAGGCACTACACAATGAACTACAAGATAGAACAGAAGCACTAAACACATTATTAGGCCAATTAACTGGGATGTCCCATAAAACCATGACCCCAAAACCTCTAAACCAAGGAACCAAATCCCATGAGATATTTGGCTGTACATCAGCAGTGTTTGGTTGCACATAAGCAGCCTCAGCAAACACACACACGTATCAAGATATCTATGATACAACTTTTGCCGATTCAACTTTTTACAGGTCTACAACATACTAACAGCAATTATATTAATTGTTTATGCAACCCTATCCTTAATCAATGAATAATAATATTGTTTTAAAACACAAATCAGGTCACATTACTTCTTACCTCAAAACCCACCAATGGCTTTCCATTTAATATAAAATCTAAAATCCTTATAGGTTCTATATAATCTGATCAGGCCCCTGCTCAGCTCTCCAATCTTATCGCTTACCACTTCTACTCCTGCCACATTCATCAAACTCAATTCTACCCCAAGGTCTTTACACACATACTGCTCTTTCTGCTTGGGTTGTTCCTCTAAGATCATCATATAACTCACTCTTTTTCTTCTCAAATGTCTCCTCTGAGAGGCTTCTTCTAACCATCTTCACGGCAGCACCATTACCATCTCCATTACTTGTTGCTGTTATGTGCCGTCGAGTCGGACCTAACTCATAGCGACCCCTTCTTGGGTTTCCGAGGCAGTATCACTACGGAAGTAGATTGCCCCAACTTCCTTCCAAGGAGTGGCTGGTGGGTTTGAACCACTAGCCTTCTGGTTAATTTCTGCTTTATTTTCTTTGTATGTCTATGTTCTTAATACTTGTCACTTTTTCCTTGACTACCACTACCACCAAGAATTTAAGTTTCTTGATAGTAGGGAAGGGATTTGATATTGCTCACTGTTTCTCTAGTACCTACAACAGGGTCTGGTACATGGCAGACAATCAGTAAATATTTGTTATTATTACCTATAAAAATAATTAGCCAGCTAAGCCAAGGACACCCTTAAGACATCTCTCTCCCGATTTCCTATGATTCACTTAAATATTTTTTTTCTCTTATTTAACACTCCCCCCTTAGGCACAAAAATTACATCTTACAATTTTATATGTGCAACAAACTCTGTTACAAAAAATTTTACATGGTAGGTTCTCAAAACATATAAAAATATTTTACTTTGTAGATATAATTTTCTTTAGTAAAATTTCTAAGTTTTTGGTAACAACTAGCCCTGGTATTTCTTAAAGGATAGATCATAATAGAAGAGGGACACTTACTTCGGGCATCTGCTTTATCTGACTCACTCTGACACAAATCATCCTTGGCATCAGTGCTTCCCTCAACACCATGTCTTATAAAAAACTTCATATTGTTTTCATCAATTTCATTCTCATCATCTATATCATATTTCTGTAGGCCCTCTAGTACTTTTACTGCTGCCAAATGGGCAAACCTGTAAAAAGGAATTAGTGTAAACCACAATTGTCTTCTAATTGAACTACTTAACTTAGGGCATTATATTCTGTACAATATGAACTGATAACACAGTGGTTAAGCTTTCAGGTGCTAACTAAAAGGTTGGTGGATCTACAAAGCTTCTAATAATATGTTCTTGATTTTTATGTTGTTATCACTGCATGTTAATTAGCATATTCTACCCACAGTTTTGCTAATTGAAATGTTTAGTACTTTCTCTTAGGACATAGAGAATTACTTGCTAAAAATAAAAACCTTAAATCCTACTTCTTTCACTTATGTACCTAATTACACACACATGCACACATATATCCTACCTTTCACCAGGTACAGCAAATCATTAAAGACATTGTAACAAACATATATAGGAAGGGGTAAGGCTACTAGAACTCATTATCTCTACTACTAGGTATACAACTATAATTTCCTGAATACTTGCTGTATGCCAGATTCAAGAGTATCTATATAACAACACCACACTCACACCTAGCATTTTGTTGCAGGAATGAGAAAGAAACACAGGTCAGAAATTATAAATAATTTCAGATACGCCCATGGTACTAAATCACCCATGTGATGTTGGTATAATGATAAATACAGCAATAGACAAAAACAGAGGACCCAGAAATAACATACACAGACAACTAATTTTTGACAAAGGTGAAAAGACAGTGTAGTAGAGGAAGGATAATCTTTTTAACAAATAGTCCTGGAATAAATGAATGTCCATATTAAAAAAAAAAAAAAAGCAGAAAAACTTGGATCCATACCTCATACCATATTCAAAAATTAACTCAAAATGGATCATAAACCTAAATGTAAAATCTGAATTATACAGTTTCCAAAAGAAAATAAAGGAGAAAATCTTTGTGACCTCATTTTAGTCAAATTTCTTAGCTAAGGTACCAAAAGCATAATCATAAAAGGACAAATTGATAAACTAGACTTTACAAATTATCAAAAAATTTAAAGTTTTTGCTCTTCAAAGACAGTGTCAAAATAATAATAATAATAATCTCACAACTGGGAGAAAATCATGGAAAAGCAGGTATCTGAGAAAAAATTAGTCTCCAGAACATGTAAAGAGAACTTAAAACTTAATAATAAGGAAGTAAATGGTCAATTTTTTAAAAAATGGGCAAAAGATCTGAACAGTCATTTCACCAAAGAAAATATGTATGTGTTAAGTATATGAAAACACATTCAAAATCATTTTTCATTAGGAAAATGCAAATTAAAATCACAGTGAGGTACCACCATAGATTTATTTGAATTACTAAATTTTTGTAAACTGACAATACCAAATGCTGATGATATAGAGCAAAAGGAACTCTCGTTCATTGCAAAATGGTGCAACCACTATAGAAGGTAGTTTGGCAGTTTCGTATAAAGTTAAATATATAGTTAGCATACGATCCAGCAATCCCACTTCAATGTATTTACTCAAATGAACTGAAAACCTGTTTGTACAAAAACCTGTGTCAGAGTATTTACAGCAGTATTACTCATAATTAAAAAAAAAAAAAAAAAGGGAAAAAATCGAGATTGCCTTTAATGGGTGAGAATATAATCAAACTGGCAGAGATTCATATGTTGTTGTTATTGCTGTTGTTACGTGCCATCAAGTCAGTGCCAACTCATAGCGACCCTATATACAATAGAATGAAACACGGTCCAGTCCTGTGCCAGCCTCACAATACTTGCTATACCTGAGCCCATTATCGTAGCCACTGGGTCAATCCATCTCATTGAGGGCCTTCCCCTTCTTTGCTGACCCTCTTCTTTACCAAGCACAATATCCTTCTCCAAGGAATGGTCCCTTCTGACAACATAACCAAAGTAGGTCAAACAAAGTCTGGCCATTCTCAATTTCAAGAAGCACTCTGGCTGCACTTCTTCCAGGCCAGATTTGTTAGTTCATTTGGCAGTTCATGGTACTTGCAGTATTCTTCACCAACTCCACAACTCAAAAGCATCAAAGATCTGCTTTGATCTTCCTTATTCATTGTGCAGCTCTCACATGTGTATGTTGTTGCTGTTATGTGCCATCAAGTCATCTCAGACTTATCACGACCTTATGTACAACAGAACAAAACACTGCCCAGTCCTATGCCAGCCTCACAATCCCTACTATACCTGAGCCCATCACTGCAGGCACTGCATCAATCCATCTCATTGAGGGCCTTCCCCTTTTGTGCTGACCCTCCACTTCACCAAGCATGATATCCTTCTCCAGAGAATGGTCCCTTTTTACATCATGACCAAAGTAGGTCACATGAAGTCTGGCCATTCTTGCTTCCAAGGAGCATTCTGGCTGCACTTCTATCAGGACAGATTTATTAGTTCTTCTAGCAATCCAGTCTTCACCAACACTAGAACTCAAAAGCATCAACTCTTCTTCAGTCTTCCTTATTCATTGTCCAACTCTCACATGCATATGAGGCAACTGAAAATATCATGGCTTGGGTTAGGTGCCTCTTAGTTTTCAAGGAGATATCTTTGCTCTTCAGCACTTGAAAGAGGTCTTTTGCAACAGATTTGCCCAATGCAATACATCTCTTGATGTCTTGACTGCTGCTTCCATTGGCACTGATTGTAGAACCAAGTAATATGAAGTCTCTGACAACTTCAATCTTTTCTCCATTCATCATGCTGCTGCTTATTGGTCCACTTGTGAGGATTTTTGTTTTCTTTATATTGAGGTGTAATCCATACTAGAGACTGTAGTCTTCATCAGTAAGTGCTCCAAGTCATCCTCACTTTCAGCAAGCAAAGTTGTGTGTCGTCTGTGTATCTCAGGTTGTTAATGAGCCTTCCTGCAATTCTGATGCCATATTCTTCTTCATATAGTTCAGCTTCTCAGACTATTTGCTCAGCATACAGATTGAATAAGTATGGTAGAAGGATACAACCCTGATACATTCCCTTCCTGATTTTAAACTATGCAGTATCCCCCTGTACTATTCAAACAAGAGCCTACTGTTCTATGTATGTATATGAGGTGATTGAAAATACCATAGCTTGCATGAGGCACACCTCAGTCTTCAAAGAGACATCTTTGTTCTTCAGCACTTTAAAGAGGTCTTTTGCAGCAGATTTTCCCAGTGCAGTAAGTCATGTGATGTCTTGACTGCTGCTTCCACTGGTGTTGATTGTAGAACCATGTAATATGAAATCTTTGACAACTTCAATCTTTTCTTCATTGATCGTGATGCTGCTTATTTGTCCAGTTGTGAGGATTTTCATTTTATGTTGAGATGTAATCCATACTGTAGACTGTAGTCTTTAATCTTCATCAGTAAGTGCTTCAAATCATCCTCACTTTCAGTAAGCAAAGTTGTGTCATCTGCATATCGCAGGTTGTTAATGAGTCTCCCTCCAACCCTGATGCCATGCCCTTCTTCATAAAGGCCAGCTTCTCGGATCATGTGCTCAACGTACAGATTGAATAAGTATGGTGAAAGGATACAACCCTGATGCACTCCCTTCCTGATTTTAAATCTGTTTGAATGACAGCCTCCCAGTCTATGTACAGGTTCCTGATACACACAGTCAAGTGTTGTGGAATTCCCATTCTCCCTAATGTTATCCAAAATTTGTTATGATCTACACAAATGAATGTTTTACAATAGTCAACAAAAAACAAGTAATCATCTTTCTGGTATTCTTTGCTTTCAGCCAAGATGTCCATCTGACATCAGCAATGATACCCCTCATTCTACATCCTCTTCTGAACCCAGCTTGCATTTCTGGAAGTTCTCTGTCAATATACTGTGCAATTGTTTTTGAATTATCTTCAGTAGGATTTTACTTGTATTAATGATATTGTTCAATAATTTCCACATTCTGTGGGATCACCTTTCTTTGGAATGGGTACAAATATGGATCTCTTCTAGGCAGTTGGTTAGGTAATTGTCTTCCAAATCTTCTGGCATAGCTAAGGGAGTGCCTGCAGCACAGCATCTGTTTGTTGAAACATGTCAACGGATATTTCATCAATTACAGGAGCCTTGTTTTTCACCAATTCATTCAGTGCAGCTTCCACTTCTTCCTTCATTGGTTCTTGATCACATGTTACCTCCTAAAATGGATGAACAATGACCAATTATTTTCAGTACACTGACTCTGTATATTCCTTGCATCTTCTTTTGATGTTTCCTGCATCAGTCAATATTTTGCCCATAGACTCTTTCAGTATTGCAATTCAAGGCTTGATTTTTTTCTTCAGTTCTATCAGCTTGAGAAATGTCAAGCATGTTCTTCCCTTTTGGTTTCTAACTCCAGGTCTTTACACAATTCATTATAATAATAGACTGCCTTCTCAGGCTGCTCTTTGAAATCTTCTGTTCAGCTCTTTTATATTGTTGGTTCTTCCATTTGCTTTAGCTACTCTCCATTCAAGGGCAAGTTTCAGAGTCTCTTCTGACATCCATTTTGGTCTTTTCTTCCTTTCTTGTCTTTTTAATGACCTTTTGCTTTCTTCATGGATGATATTCTTGATGTCATCCCACAATTCCTCAGGTGTATGGTCATTGGTGTTCAATGCATCAAATCTATTCTTTAGACGGTCTCTAAACTCAAGAGAGATATAATCAAGGTCGTACTTTGGCTCTTATGGACTTGTTTTAATTGTCTTCAGTTTCAACTTGAACTTGTACCTTAGCAGTTGATGGTCTGTCCCACAATCATTTCCTAGCCTTGTTTTGGCTGAAGATTTTGAGCTTCTCCATCACCTCTTTCCACAGATATAGTCGATCTGATTCCTGTGTACTCCATCTGGCACATTATATGGCACATCCATATAATGGAATATTATTCAGGAATAAAAAGGAATAAACTAATAATACAGACACACAGATGAATCTCAAAATAACTATGTCAAATGAAAGAAGTCAGATACAAAAGAGAACATACTCTATAATTCCCATTTATCTAAAAAAAATTGTCTAGAAAATTCTAACTAAGCTTTAGTGATAGAAAACAGATCAACGGTTGCTTGGAGGAGGGCAAGTAGGGAGGGATAAGAGGCAGAGAACTTACAAAGGTGCACAGGGAGACTTTGGGAATAATCGATATATTCATCATCATGACTGTAAAGGTGTATATATATGTCAAAAATCATCAAATGTACAAATATGGACATTTCCTGTATGCCAATTCTATCTCAGTAAAACTGTACAGAAAGTTAAAAATAAAATGGTCCTGAATTGACAAAGATTTCAGGTACCTGATATAGGAAAACCACACTCAAGGCTTCAAAGAAATTCCATAAATTTTAAGGTATGTTGTTGTTGTTGTTGTTGTTGTTGTTATGTGCCGTCGAGTCAGACCCAACTCATAAAGAACCCTCCTTGGGTTTCTGAGATGGTATCACTACGAAGTAGATGGTCCAACCTTCCTTCCAAGGAGTGGCTGGTGTGTTTGAACCCCTAGCCTTCTGGTTAGCAGTCAAGTGCCTTAGGCATTACACTACCAGAGCTCTCATTTTAAGGTATAGAAGCTCACAAACAAAAATGCACTGATATTTTATGAGCCAACCACTAAATCCTATTATGTTTCACTGGCCACCTTTAGCCCACACTCTTAATGTAGATTTAAGCAGTTCTGAATCACATGTAATTCCTCAAACACACAAGGTTATTTTACAAGCCCTTGTCCTTCAAGTATCAGCATAAATGCTGTTGTTGCTAGGTGCTGTCAAGTTGCTTCCAAATCATAGTGACTCAATGTACAACAGGATGAAACACTGCTGATCCTGTACCATCTTCACAATCTTTCCTATGCTTGAGCCCATTGTTGCAGCATATATATTTAATAAGTATAGTGAAAGGATACATACAACCCTGACACACATCCTTCCTGATTTTAAACCACACAGTATCTCCTTATTTTGTTCAAATGACTGCCTCAAGATGTACATATAGGTTTCTCATGAGCACAGTTAAGTGTTCTGTAATTCCCATTCTTTGCAATTTTATCCATAATTTTTTATGATCCACACAGTTGAATGCCTTTGCATAGTCAATAAAACACAGGTAAACAGCTTTCCGGTATTCTTTGCTTTCAGCCTAAATCTATTTGACATCAGCAAAGATATGCTTTACTCCATGCCCTCTTCTGAATCCTGCTTGAGTATCTGGTAGTTCCCTGTTGATGTACTGCTGCAACTGTTTTTTATTTACCTTCAGCAAAACTTTATTTGTGTTTGATACTCAAGAATTTTGGCCTTCTGTTGGATGACCTTTCTTTATAACGGGCACAAATAACGATCTCTTCCAGTGAGCTGGCCAAGTAGCTGTCTTCCAAATTTCTTGGCATAAACAAGTAAATGCCTCCAGCACTGCATCCATTTGTTGAAACGTCTCAATGGGTATTCCATCAATTCCTGGAGCCTTGTTTTTTCCCAATGCCTTCAGTGCAAGTTGGATTCTTTCCTTCAATACCATCATTTCTTGATCATATACTACCTCCTGAAATGGTTGGACATCAACCAATTCTTTTTGTTATAGTGACTGTATATTCCTTCCATCTTCTTTTGATACTTCCTACACTGTTCAACATATTGCCCATAGAATCCTTCAATATTGCCAACTTGCTTGAATTTTTTCCTCAGTTCTTTCAGCTTGAGAAATGCTGAACATTTGATTTTTTATCAAAATAAAAAAAAAACTTTTGATTTTCTACTCCAAGTCTTTGCACATTTCACTATAATGCTTTATCTTTTCAAGCTGCCCTTTGAAATCTTCTGTTCAAATCTTTTACTTCATCATTTCTTCCTTTCACTTTAGACTCTCTCCACTCAAGAGCAAGTTTCAGAGTCTCTTCTGACATCCATTTTGGTCTTTTCTTCCTCTCCTATCTTTTAATGGCCTTTTGCTTTCTTCATGTATGAGTCATTGATGTCATCCACAACTCATCTGGTTATCAATCATTGATATTCAATGCCTCAAATCTATTCCTCAGATGGTCTTAAATTCAGATGGGATATAATCAAGCTCCTAGTTTGGCACTAGTGGACTTGTTTTAAACTTCTTCAGCTTAACTTAATCTTGCATATGAGCAACTGATAGTCTATTCTAGTCAGCCTCTGGCCTTCTTCTGACTGACAACAATGAGTTTTCTCTATTGCCTCTTCCCACAGATGTAGCTGATTTGATTCCATCTGGCAAGGTTCATGTGTACAGTCACCATTTGTGTGGCTGATAAAACGTATTTGCAATGAGTGAGTCATTGGTCTTGCAAAATTCTATCATGCACTCTCTGGCATCATTTCTGTCACCAATGCCTTATTTTCCAACTACTGATGCTACTTCTTTGTTTTCAACTTTCACATTTCAATCACTAGTATTCATCAATAGATCTTGATTGCATGTTTGGTCAATTTCAGACTGCAGAAGCTGATAAAAATCTTCAATTTCTTCATCTTTGGCTTTAGTGATTGGTGTGTAAATTTGAATAACAGCAGTAGTAACATGTCTTCCTTGTAGGCTTATGGTTATTACCTTGTCACTGACAGCACTGTACTTCAAGATAGATCTTGAAATGTTCTTTTTGACAATGAATGTGATGCCATTCCTCTTAAATTTGTCACTACCAGCATAGCAGGCCAATACCAGTCCATTTTACCTCATTAATGCCTAGGATTTTGACCTTTATGTGTTCCATTTCATTTTTGACAATTTCCAGTTTTCCTAGATTCATACTTTGTACATTCCATGTTCTGATTATTAATGGATGTTTGCAGCTGTTTTTTTATCATTTTAAGTCATGCCACATCAACAGATGAAGGTCTAGAAAGCTTCTTTCCACCCATGTCATTAAGGTTGACTATATATTTTAAGGAAGCAGCTCTTCCCTGATCATTTACATGTCTTCCAACCTAAGAGGATCTTCTGGCACTATATCAGACAATGTTTCCCTGCAATTCATAAGGTTTTCAGTGGCCAATATTTTCAGAAGTGGTTGGGGCCACATCCTTCTTCCTACTCTGTTTTAGTCTGGAAGCTCTCCTGAAACCTATCTACTGTGGGTGACCTTGCTGCTATTTGAAGTAGTGATGGCATAGCTTCCACCTTTACAGCAACACATAAGACACCACAGTATGACAAACTAATAAATGAGTAATGGGTTTAAATATTGCTTCCACAAAAATAAAGTCTTTCCTAACCTTTAAATTCTGTTGCCTTATAATTTTTCTTCATAACCCTTACCATCTTCAATAATAATTATTCTCCCTTTAACTTTCAAATAGGAAGACTGGGTACTTTTTATCCTACATTCTGACTGTGCCTTATATGTACTATGTAATAAGGTATAAAGACTATGTTTGCAAAACATGTGTCTCCACAAGACTGTAAGCTCCCTGAGTGCAGGGACTGTGCTTTTTCACCTTTGTAAAATCCTAACATTCATCACAGTACATGGGACATGACAGGAACAGAGGAAGCTGAATGAAAGAATAAACAAAAGAACAAATGAATGGACTATATTCCTTGAGAACCTGACTGGAATGGCTGACGGTGTTCAATAATAAGTGTTACATTTAATTCAAATGTAAATATCAAAATATTTCTCAAAACTCGTGATTTTTTTGAAATTGTTATCCATGTTGATTATTCCTTTTCATCACACAATGTTTCTCAACAGGGACATTACAGGTACTTGGGTGGGACAATTCATCATGCAGCACTGACTATTCTGAACACTGCAGAATGTTTAGCATTCCTGGACCCAACCCCACCAAACACTGGTGATGGTATCTAGTCACTGTAACAGCCCTCCACACGCTTTTCTAAATGTACCTCATCGCCCTCACAAAAAAAAAAAAAAAAAAGATACTACTACTTACTACTTCCCAACTGAGCATCACTTCTTTAAAGAAAAGAGTTGATATATTGGCAAATGGCAATTCAGTTGGAAAATTTTCATTCTATCAGCATTTGGCTGAGTCCTGTAGATCCATCCATTCAATCCTCAGAGGTTTCTGAGTACAAGACAATACGTGAAACTTTAAAAACAAAATAGGAACAAAAAGGTGTCTATACCTCTTAGCCACATCACTGGGTTTCTCCCCTGCTTCATTAGTAATATTACAGTCTGCTCCCATTTTAATTAACCACTGCAAACACTCTACATGTCCTTGTCCAGCAGCTGAAAGAAAACAGTAAAAACACAGGGAAAAATAATTATTATTATTAATTTTTAAAATTTTGGACAGTATCATTTACAGAGTACTTTCATACAATGTCTGTTTTGATCCTTGCAATAACCAACAAAAGTAGGTTGGACAGATGTTATTTTCTCTACTTCATTTATTCATTCATTAGTCAAACATAGAATCAAGTATCTACTATAGTCAGACCCTATATAGCAGATTATATATCCAAATGGAAAAGCTGAAGCCCAAAGAGGTTATTTAAGAACACACAGCTAATAAGAGATGGAATTAAAACTACAATTTAGGTTTTTCTCACCTGCTGCTATATATATAGTCCCTAACCAGTCTTGTATTAGACCAGGATAAGAGTACATCGCAGCCACAGAGACCTACATAGGCTTTGAGAATCTTGCTCCATATTGTATATTCTTCTGACTGTTGTTGTTACGTGCCATCGAGTTGTCCCCGCCTCATAGTGATCCCTCCTTGGGTTTCCGAGGTGGTATCACTACAGAAGCAGATTGCCCAAACTTCCTTCCGAGGAGTGGCTGGTGGGTTTAAACCACTAACCTTCGGGTTAGCAGTCAAGTGCCTTAGGCACTATGCCACCAGAGCTCCCATTCTTCTGACTATCATAACTAAAAATCTATGTTGTTGTTGTTGTTATGTGCCGTCAAGTCGGACCCGACTCATAGCAACCCCTCCATGGGTTTCTGAGGCAGTATCACTACGGAAGTAGATTGCCCCATCTTCCTTCCGAGGAGTGGCTGGTGGGTTTGAACCACCAGCCTTCTGGTTAGCAATCAAGTGCCTTAGCCACCCCTCAAATCATACTGTGATGCTTTTGAATTGTGGTGTTAGTGAAGAATGGTGAAAGTACCATGGATTGCTGAAAAAACTAACAAATTTGTCCTGGAAGAAGTGCAGCCTGAATCCTCCTTGGAAGCAAGAATGGCCAGACTTCGTCTCACCTACTTTGGTCATGTTGTCAGAAGGGACCATTCTCCAGAGAAGATGTCATGCTTGGTAAAGTGGAGGGTCAATGAAAGAGGGGAAGGCTCCCCACAAGATGGACTGACACGGTGACTGTACAATGGGTTCAGGTATAGTAGGCATTGTGAGGCTGGCACAGGACCAGGCAGTGTTTCTTTCTGTTGTACATAAGGTCACTTTGAGTCAGAGATGACTTGACAGCACTTAACAACAACAACAACAAATCATACATGATTACCTAAACTGTACCACCTTTTCGTAAATCTTGTTCTCAAAATACATGCACTCAATATTAATTTTCACCTACATAATTGTTTATGTGCATTCCCACCTAATATCACTCACTCAACTATATAGGATCTAATACCTACCCATTCATTCTTCTAGGTTCATTTCCTGACTCAGGGAATTAGGGGGGTGGGTTTAAAAGACTGAAGCTGAAGTGTACAAACCAATGAGACTTGAAGACAAGACTGTGATCTTCATATCCCAAACTTAACAAGTGTCTAGGCAAAAACAGACCTTCAATAAATGTCTACAGAGAGAATGAGTTAACAGAAGAATTAAAAAAATAAATGAAATCTCAGCTCTGCTCTAATTATCTATAATTACCAGCTAAATAGCCTCAGGTAAGGCACCTGGTATTTCCAGACCTCAATTTTCTTATCTTTCACAGAAATAATTTCATATTTATAAGAACACATTTCTGTTGTATAAAATTGTAATCTGGATTAAATAATAGTTGTGCATTCTGTTAAATGAGATATAAATATAAAGCATTATTATTAAATTGCCATGAGTGTTTCTCAATATTTTGACCCTTAGCAGATTCTTCCATTCCTCCATTATTATTCTTGGATACTTAGTGAATGTATTTTAAAAACCAAATTTTTTTTTTGCCACTAATTACACTCTGTCTCATAATGATCTTGAGTTTTTTTATGGTATAAACATGTTGCTTGGTCTGGATCTCATTTATCTCCCCAGTGCAAGCACATGGTTTATGCTAACTATATATCAGACTCTGCAAATTAATTAATTAATTGATTTTGGTATGAATTTGGTGCCTAAAAAGTAAACTTATGTCGAATACTGGCAACAGAGAGGAGAGGACAAACAGCTGATCCAGTGATGAAGCAACCCTATCACTATATCCCTATAGCCTAGTTGGCAAAAGGTCTGTAAGACCTGTTGTCTTGCCCTTTTATGCCTGACTTAGAGACAGTTGCCAGATTCAGATTTATCTCCTTAAGAGTCTGGGTTTTTCTGTCTCCCATAGGCACTCCAGAAACAACTAACAAAGAATACTAAAGGATTTTCAGACTTCTGGAAATAACCTGTCTTTAGACAAAAATAGCCACATATTCTACCTTTTCTGTCTTTAAAGAGTTACAGTCACCCAGAAAAAAACCCTCACTGCTGTTGAGTGAGATCTGACTAATAGTGACCCCTCCTTGAGTTTCCGAGGCAGTATCACTATGGAAGTAGATTGCCCAACCTTTCTTTCAAGGAGTAGCTGATGGGTTTGAACCATCAGCCTTCTGTTTAGCAGTCAAATGCCTTAGGCACTATGCCACCAGAGCTCCCACAATCACCCAAATCACAATAAAAAAGATGGAAAAGAATAAAAAGAATTACAAAGTCATTTTACAAATAATGAGTTAGATACGCTAGAATGAGGTTAGCCTGATATTTCCATTTTATCAAACAGGTAGTGCTTTAAAAAGGGAAAAAAGGGGAGATCTGGCAAGATGGCAGACTAGGCAGAAAGACTGCAAAGACCCTCTTCAACAAAGAAAAGGGAAACCAATTAACACAGACACAGAACATAATCCTGGTCCCCTGAGCCTTGAGGAGAAGGATATACAAGTGGACTAAACCCCAACTAGCAGAAGAATTTGCGTGAAAATACAAAAAAAAAAGGAGACGGAGCTGCGGTCTGGCAGCGAGCCTGAGCAATCCTGATGGCACAGACAGCTTGGAGATTCCCGAGTGGTGGTAGGACCTAAGAATTAACCTAAAAATCACCCTGCTAGCAGGGACTACACTGAGGACTGTGCACGGTAGCTAGGGAACAAATGGAGAAGGTGAAGAGAAAGGTAGGCTGAGCTGTGGACTTTTGCCAGTCCAGAGGGCACCGCCATTTTGAAGGTTTAAATAGCGGCGTGACTATTTTGGATATTTAAAGAGACAGGGCTCTGGCAGATTCCTGGGGCTTAAGAACACGTTCTGCTTTGCAGCAACCCCAAGGACACTAGGGTCCTACAAGACTGACAAGGTACGACATTCCTCGTTACTCTTGGTGAACGGAGATGCAGCCATCCTCCACTCCCACCTACCTTCTGGACCCACAGGAACTCCATCACAGTCTGTGTGCTCAGACGGAGGCTGGGTGCCCTGCCCTATCCTCCACTGATTTTTTTTTCCATCTTTTTTTATTTTTATATTTTTCTTTTTCACTTTCTTTTTTCTGGTGATTAGTTTGCTTGCATTTGTCTATTTTAAAACAACTAATATTATTAATACTTTTGTCCTTTTTATTACTATTCTTAATCTTCCCTTCCCAGGTCCTAGTTTTCAGCATTTTTTCTTTTCCCTGTGCCTGGATGAAATTTTTGGTTGTTTTTTTTTTTTCTTTTCCCCCTTTTTTCTTGTGGTTAACCCTGTCCCTTGATTTTCTTTTTGCATATTTCCCATGTTTTTTTATTTATTATTCCCCTTCTCTACTTTTTTTTCTTAGTGCCCTATCCCCAGATATTGCAGGTTTGCTAGTTTTTTCTTCTTTTTTTTCCTTTTTGCTTTTTTTAGTTACTGTTCGTATGTGATTACATGGTGTGTTTTTCGTCCATGGGCTTTTAGTTTTTTGATGGTTATTCAATTGTAATTTGTGTCTAATTGAGTGGGAGACAACAACAGTCCCATAAGACACAACTATACCTACACCTCCTGCAACTTCACTTACTGAGAGAAAGCCACTACCTCCGTCTCCACCAACGGGCCAATGATAAAAAACCACCAAGAAGAGCCTGAATCACACTTGGCTGCTCTTCACAAACATTTAACAGAGATCTAAATACAACACCATGATGCCTTGGAAACAACAGAGCATCACAATCCACACAAACAAGCAAGATAAAATGGTAGAAACAAGGAAGCTGGATCCAGACCGAGAATACATCCCTGAGGAAGAAGCAGCACTGGAACTCTCTGGTAAGGAATTCAAAAGAATTATCTTTAGGTATCTTCAAAGGATTGAGAGTCAGACCAAAGAAAACACAGAAAAAATCTTACAAGAATTTTGGAAGAAAATACAAGAACAAAATGACAAATTAAATGAAAAATTAGAAATCATTCTAAATCTACAGTAGAAATCCAGAAGATTAACACTAAATTTTCAGAAATAGATAACACACTGGAAGGGCAAAGGAGAAGAATTGATGCTAT